ACATTACAATTAGCGAAATATATTTCTCTACTCACTGTGAATATCATTTTCGTCCCGGCTTCCCTGTACGTCGTTCTCGTTTACTCTGAGGTAGAAGCCATGACTGCATTTTAAATGCTTCGATGACGACGTGTAGGGAGTGAAATGAACCATGTCGTTTGTTGTTGTTGTAAGTGGATTTGCGATACACTGAAGATATTTTGAGTGTAGTAGTCTAACTTAATTGCACACCTCGATTAATCGTGATTGACGCCCACCAAGTTAAAAGAATTTCGTTTCACTCACCCTTTGCATTTTCTTTTTGTTTGGAACGGCACGTGATTTTATCTTCTACATCGTCTCTTTTGGCCAGCGGTAGCTTATTGAAGAACTATCTTGCATCCTTGTTGGTACCAAACTTACACTGACGTGCTTAGCATTTGAGACGCCGTCTTAGACCTCGACAGTGAGAATTCCCTGGTGCCGAGACGGGATATGCCTTTTGCCTCTGTTTCAAAATGAGCTGCTCTTTGCCTCTGTTTCAAAATGAGGCTCGGCGCAAAAACTATGGCTATAGTCTATGAGCCCTCGACAACAACTCTTTATATGACAACAGGGCACGATCGCACACACGACATTTTGAAAGGGAAATTTTTCCTTAAACGATACCTAAGAAAAAAAATTTCCTGACCGCTCATGAAGTATAATCATGAGCGAAAGTCAACTGGCTGGGCCTCGTCGACAAGGAGCTCATAGAAAACCTAGGGACATTGTCCAATTATTAACGCTTACTGATGGCCTTTGTGTATCATCAAATATTTTCTTATATGTAAGTTATCGGTGGAGGTGGCTACCTTGAGACGTGGGTATTTCCTTTTAGTGTCTCGCTTTACAAACGTAGCCCTATTTTTGAATAAAAGTCGAAGTTTCCTTCCTTTAAGTTTTAAGGCGACAATTACATGTAAAGGACTTGTCATTGTAATTTCATATTGGGCTTCTTCTACATGCTATGAAAGCCTCGTTTTTGAAACTGAAAAATGCGTGAGTAATGGGAAAAGGAAGTATATGTTAAATGAGATGATAGGAAAGTAAAAAGTCTACTGTAAATATGAATTTTACAAAAAAAAAATACAAGAACCTTTTCAGCAAATAAGTAAAATCAGGCAGGGTTTGCAAAGTTTCAAATACCGTTGCAAATAACTAAATATATTCTTTACCCCGTTCTTAATAATTGGAAGGTGGAAGTCATTGTTGGAGGGGAAAAACTTTCAGTCTCGTTTCAAAAACGAGGCCAAATTTGTCTCAAAATAAACATGGCACACCTTAATATAATATTTGTATATTTTATTTTAGAAACGAATATTCAACCCGCGTTCACGTTACGCAAGAGCGGAAATTCACTTTAACACAAGGAATGAATTCGATTTCCATTCAACTTTCAAAATATAGTTTTTGCCAAGGCATTATATTCTCTTGCTTTCACTCAGAACAATGCGGAGAAATGCGAAATTTATTGCGCAATAAGATTCGTACTTCCATGACTGTCTTTACTTTAATCCACTTCTATCGTTCTCACGATTTATCATCTTCCCTTGCTAAAGGATTTTTGCATTTTGTCACGTGCTGTTCTACAGATTAAATCAAACCCTCTTATAATATAATAATACCTTAGAACTTCTTCAAATATCAAGGGTGGATCTAGGGGGAGGGTGCAAGGGGTGAACAATTCCCCTTTCCCCCCCACCCGTCTGAGATGAAGACCCCTTCCTATTCGCTTTTAAAATTTGTTGACCTCATTAGTCAGTTACGCCATTCCCAATTAGTGACGCACCCCTCCAAAGAAAAATTCTGGATCCGCCCATGAATATCATCTCTTTTACTTATACTCTAGACCAACTAAAATAAAGTTATTGCGCTATTAGCATTATCAAATGCACCAAGAATTCAGTATCCAGCGGAAAATCCATTAACAGATTAAACTCTTCTTGATAAAAATTCCACGGCTCTCTGGCCGGACGCAGTTTTGGACCCAGGCTTTGCTCTGCCATCGTTTGTCAGTGCAAGAAACCAGCCTGCGTGAGGCTTAGACTCAAATGAACTGTAGCCATTCGTGTTATGACGTTCTTTAAAAAAACAATCTTCCACCAAGGAGCTCTGTTGAAAGTTAAGGACATAGGTTAAGGTAAATGATCTAGATTCGATCGAGCGAGAGAGCGAGCACGCGAGTGAGTGAGTGAGGGAAGAAACGAAGGAAAGGAAGCTGGGTGACTGCGAGCGCATGCATCAGTTCGCGCGCGTTGCGTGCGTGTATGACTAAATCCTCATTGGCATTAATCATTGACATCATTGATACTTACGTAGGTCAAGAGGTTTCCTTTACTGTCCATCCCGATATATCTATTAGATACTTCTCCTCGTAACACAATTTCCCCTGGGGCAACAGATATCATTTCAAGGGTGGCTGCAAATCAATTTTAGAATAAAGATTTCTCTGTCAACGGTTCTGGCAAAACGAAGTCACAGATAAATGTAAGTTGGCAAATTTGGGTGTACTTCAGCGTGACCCCGTTTGGCAGCTTATGTGTGTACATCTTTGCTAGCTTTCCAATGCAACCAGATCTTAAAGTTTATCTTGATCCTTACTTCAAAGCGCTGTCAGACAAGGAAACTCTTCTCAAAATTCTTTTGCGATACAATTAAGTTGCCAAAGAAATTGCTTAGCGTGTTGAAAACACCCTTAAAAGAAGAGAACATTCATGAAATATGCAGCAAGCGCTACAAGCCCAAATCTTAGCACGGAAATCTTTGGAACTGCTTATGCGCGGTGTTTTCTTATAAAATTTGTATTTATTATATAAAAATATAAAACAAGTAGAATCCATGATATGTTGCTGTGCGTCTGTTCAGTAATAGATCACAGATGACGTCAAATGTGGTAAGGAGATCAGTGCACAAGCGGCCAAATCCGTCGATCCGAAAAACTATTCACGCCCCTCAATTCACCTCTCGCAAGATATCAAGATATAGATCAAGGTCTGATAGCCGGTGTTAGGCAAACCGAAGCACTTGCGTTAGCCTATTTTTTTTTTCCTTTTGGTTGTTTTTCTTTTAAAGGGGGAAAGTAAAAAAATTGCTAAATACCTAGGAAAAGAATTTGACGACAGACATTACCTCACTTTCTGGCTAAGGCCCTGTAGGGCAGGCCGTTTGTAGCAGTAAGCCAGACATAACAGTGTTTTGAAGTCACTTAACATTACAGTCGATCACTGATTTTTT